TTAATTAGCTGATCCAAAGACTGAACAAGACTTACACAAATCAGCAGTGGGCTACAACTATTGTGATAGCCTGATAAGATAATAGAAATCCATTTGCACAATATTGTTAAATGTCGTCAGTTTCACGCGTAGCATTTCCGGAATTTTAGTTCTTCTAAATTCACTGCCTACTTTTCTAATCCCAAGCAGCGCCAGCGGTAGAAACAAGGAAGAGTAGCTTTTTAGGAATATGGAAGGATGACTGCGACGATGTAGGAAGTATCAATTTGTATTCCTGTGTTTAGACTGTCCACAACTTCACTGCACTGAATTTTCAGACAGCATTCCAAAAATATAATCCAGTTATGGACCTAAAATATCATTCAAATTGCCATCAAAATGAATCGTGCACTTGTGTCCACATTATGTTTAGTGCGCTTGAAATTGAGAGAAATGTTTTACTGTCACCATTTGTTGTTTACGATTCTGCATTGCTGTATAATACTCTTCCGGTTGCTATTATTCAACTTAAATTTGACGTGCTTCAAGTTAACGATCATACCTTTTGCCAAACATATGGTTCAGAAGGTATGGTTGACGCCTGTAAATCAGCGACAGTAGGTTCGATTTATGAAATGCAAAGGAGACTTTTAGACTAATAGTAACAATATAAATATTTATATCAAGGGGAAGGTCACTCCGCACACCAATCTTGGGTCATCTTTTTTGTCAGTGTGCCGAGCAAGCTGCGACTGTTTGTAAAATACCCTTCCAGGCAACCCGGTATTTCTGACACCTGGAACGTTTAGGTTTGAAATCGCAAGGATAAATCGGATCAAGGATGACGCGGGAAGTGGCGGGTGTGCGAAATTTTGGTGTTTTGTGTTCATAGAATAATACCCTGCGTTATAATGCCCTCAAAGGCAGACCAGAAACCTAGCCTCTCGTGATGTGAAAGCAACGGTCTCTAAGCGGCCGGAAAGAGTTGGAACCGGTGGGGAACATTGTTGGAGACCGACTATAGAGGATGATAAATAGTTGTGTGAGCTGCAGCATTATTTGAATTAAGGGTACTAATGCAGTCTGATTAACTGCCTCTTTCTCTTGAGCTCACTTTAGAACTTACATTTCGTATTTAGATCTATAAGTGAACTGCTGGTATATTCAAATAGAGGATGTTTCTGAATATACAGTCAAACAGCACAGTTGTCCAGCAGAGCTCCCATTTTGCCGAAGGTGTGCCGAAGGTGTGCCGAAGGATGTACAGAAACTAATTTCGGCACAATGTGCTGAGTGACCTACCCCTTGATTTATATTGAATTAGTCAACATCAAGGTAAAGCAGTCCCATAATGCAAAGCGAAAACTATTAAGTTTTTGGCTGATTAAAATCACCATATGTTTAAAAGCTGAAAAATGGTTAATGGTAATCTATCTAATCTAATCTAATCTAATCTAATACAAACGTAGCCAGTACGAGAAAGCAATCTGGAAAATGATTTGATTAGATAACGCCTAATCATTTGTCTTGTCTACATTGATGGTTGATGGCCTTAACTCAATTTTGTAAACAAACCTTGTAAGTCCATTTTCTCCCGAACCGAAGTTCGCAAAGGTAAACCAACATAATGAACAGGTAGGGAAAATTCTCCTCTACCCGATTGTGGTTTTGGTTCGCGAGAAAATGGCCTTACAAGGTTTGTTTACAAAATGGAGTTAAGGCCATTTCAATTGTTGGTCTTGATATCTGCGTTGCATTTGCCACAAAGATGATTATGTGAAATAATTCGAGTTTAAATAAATATATTTAAACAGCGATGCATTGCATGAATCTACAGCGGTGGAAGGATGCGTGGACATACCGTACCAAACGCTCCGCGTTATGTAAGAGTTAATTTAACAATCATATGTGATGTAATGAATGGTTTATATAATGTAGTATAATTGAAGGGTCTCACCAAATGCTTCCAATGTTCCGCAAATTCCTAATTTATAGATAAAAATGGTAGGATCTCGCCAAAACTGGTCTGCTGTGTTCATCAACTTTTCCGGACTTCTCTATTCCACGATTTTCTCCAGTTGCCCAGTAGCTGCTGTGCGTTGTCCTCCACCAAACGCTTCGTCTTCATCACGCAGACACAGCTCGCAACGAACGTCCTCTTATGTTTTCTTCTTACCGCGTTTGCCAATCATCAATAAATGTAGTTCAATCAGCTCTTCTCATTTGAAGCAAAAAATCACTTCGCGGCTTGCAAAACGACCCGAAGGATCAAGGAAATTGTCATCGTAATGATGTTTTTCAATTTGTTCGCAACTACAACCTATCGAATTGCTTATTTCTTCGCTGTTTGTTCTGGCACTGTTCAAAGTCGGTAAAATTTCAAATAACCGTTACACGTTAGAAATTAATAAGATCGAGACATTTTATTTTTTTTTTATAATTACATGGGGTGGTGCTGAACAAAGTCTGCACAACTTCAGAATACATTTTCTTAATTTTTGAATTTTCTAACGATTTTTAAACTTTTGATGAACAGTTCTAGACAAACAGTTGAAAAGGGCGTGACTCCAAAATGACCATATCGAGAAAATCGCTTCCGAATTTTGATGACCTAAAAATTAATCCTATTTCACGGTTTTTTCATTTTCTGGATGATTTTATAAGCTTGACATATAGTTAATAGTGAAATCTATCATCATGCATCACTAACAACTCAAAAAAAGTTTTCTTTGTCGTGAAATTAAGAATAAAACATCATACGCCCTGATAATTTCTTACATGTTGTTACTCCCCGGATCTTCCATCCTTTGAACTGCCAACACTGGTGATACGCCGTGGAAATACACCCTCGGGATATTTTGTTTGTTGTTCCGCCTTGGTTCTTCGTTCACAAATTTTGTGAAAGTGGTTTTCTTGTTGTTCGTTGTTTACACGTGAAATATCAATCGGATGCATTTCAAATGAATCGGGCGTGACTGGATACTACAGAATCGGTACGTTTGTCATATTAAAACAATATAATTCGTAGTTCTGGTGCAAGGCGTAACAACCAGATGCATCATACAGTTGAAAGTTGGTCGACTTTCTCTTTCGTTAATAACTTGGGTACATAACCGTTTTTTGTCGTGTTTGTCGTATTAGGAGCTAGATAATAGCGAAGACTACAAATCAAGAAGACTGGCAACTCTGCCAAAAATCAGGAGACAGTAACGGCAACGCCTCTTCTGAGCAAAAGTAGAACGTGTGTATGATGGTGGGACCTTCCTCGATCATTAATTTGCTATCTCAGAGTTATCTGCCACTTTTCCTAAGCCGTTTAGTGAAGCATTTATGGGCATTCGTATGGTGCATTGTCCGTTTCGCATGGCTTTGGTAACTGGCCACAACGGTTGGAGTAAAGTTTTGACGCTCGGCAACTTGGCACAGTACTTTCACTATTTGAATGTCACTGGTCAATCCAAAACTGTTGTTATCATTCTCTGGAAGGGGTGGTTTCATGTTCTGACAACATCTAAAATGGGAATATATTCTTTATCAATACTTACCGTTTGGGATTGTAGTCCTTCAACATTCCATTTTCGAGTGTTCACTCGGCTGTCGACAAAAGCAGGCCACTCTCGATGTGTGCTACGCGATCGTCTGTTTTCTCGGCAGCAACCATTGTGTGGTCCTCCTCATTGTTCTTCATCAGCAGTTCTTTCGGTCGATGCGTCGTCGACTTTGGAAAGCAACCGTTTCGTGATGAGTGTGTGAGTGCTGACCACGTTTTGTGTCCATTGCTGCAATGGACGCGCTCTGACCCTCGTTGGCATACAACAATTTGCCATACAATGAAACTACTGGAAGCGGCTCCAGTTCTGATGGAGGAGGCTTTTTGGATAGCGGAAGATAAAGTGTTTATTGTGTTGTACCTTTTGACTATATTTTTAAGATGTTTTGTATAGTGACCAAGAATCCTCGGCTCTGTAAAGTTAATTCGGTTGAGCCTTATCAAATAAATTAATAAAGAAAAAAAAAAAAAAGCATTCCATTTTCATTTTCTCCAACATCAGATCCTCCTACGCCTTCCGTTGGATCGTGATTCTTTTCTTCTTCTTTTTGAATCCTTGAATTTTCAGCAGATTTCGAATGACGGTAGTTCACTCAACGGAGGCGTAAACCGCCAATTCCTAGGTATCGATCCGAGTTTCAATTCTCTACTTGATCCACCATGACAAGTTTTTCGGTTTGGAGTTGTTTAGAGCAAAACAAAAACAACAACGAGTACCGTGTTATGATTATTCGTTTCGGTGACATTAGGTCACACACACAGTCACTGTTAATGAGCAGTCTCACTAATATTTGTGCTTCAAAGTTCCACCTTTGATTGTCAGAGGCGCTGTTATCAGTGACGTTTGACATTTGTATGGAGGAAGGGAACAGTTGCCAGTCTTCTTGATTTGTAGTCTTCGCTGTGAGTGTCTAGTAGATAGCAAATCCTGTAATTTGGTATTCCAATACGTACACATATTTAGAGTATATTATTAAAATTTTTGTTAACCGTGTAAATTTCTGATTGGAATTCCTAATAGTGCAAATTTGTATGACTGCCATTTAACGTGATATGGTGATTCTTAAGCTTAAATATTGCCTGAAACATTGTACATTGACTGATCTAAGTCATTGTTGAATGATTGAAATTTGAGCAAAAATTATTTATTTTATGAACAACCTGCCATAGATGCACACCGAATTTGTTTCGCTGTTGGGCAACATTACGTGAATCCTTATCTTCCTTGTACAAGCACCTTTATACATGCGTTGGGCTAGAATATTATGAAGCCACAAATAGCTAATCAAACAGAACGCTATGCTTTGTTTGCCGTGGTCAGTACTGTTATGAAAGTTCAATCAAAGCCCTCATATTGATAACCTGTTCCACGTATCAAATGCCTCGCCTTCTAGAATTGCTCGTTGCTCTCAGTGTTTCAGTTCTAATCAATTGCATTCAATAATCGTCTTTCTTTCCCCCGGATACACAGGAAAATCTCCCTCACCACCCCCGCCAGCGATAACCTTATCGCCGCAACATGCGGTCGGAACAAACCTATGGCATGGTTCGGTCGAAACCAGTACCGACACGTTGGTTCCTCTGGATCAGTATTCGTCCCCGAAGCGCATTATCCAGCTCAGCGAAAGCAGCGGCGAGGATGAAGGGCTTGCATGCTCCACCATCACCAAGAATAATGAAGAGGAGGACGATGCGGACGACGATAACGACGACGACGACGATGACGTCGAGGACGGTGGACACAATCTGAAGAATAGTATTAGTTTAGACCTAGCAAGTAACGGTAGACATGACCATCACGAAGACTTGACCGTTGACAACGGAAACGACTTTGCGACTAGTACTACTACCACTACTACTACTACTACTACTACTAATACTAATACTACTCAGACTGGTGATAGCAACGGATGTGATCTATTTAGTGATAGTATGGATAATGATAGGGTAAGGCAGAATATCCTGAATATGCACGGTTCAGAACCAACTAACCAATACGTTATGTCGTTCCAGAACAATTACAACCAAGGAAATGAAATTAATCAAAATCCGACTCCAAAAGAGCAACCCGACGACAGTGGTCGCTTGAGGAACGATATAACGGATGCACACCAGGCTTCCTTACAGTCGGTAGCCCTGGTGAATGGAACTGCCGCCAGTTATAGTAAGCTAAAATGCTCGAATCCAATGGACGAGAGTATCGTCATTCAGCCGCAGTTCCAGCAGCTTGAAATCAATGGCAAGTCGTCGGGTGAAAACGGTACCCAGCATCAGTCACAAAACCACCAACCACAGTCACAACTACAACAACAGCAAACAACATCTTCTCACTATCAACCGCAAAATCAGCGACGAAGACGTAACTCATCCAACTCGAAAAACGATATGAGCCCCAACAAGCCTACCAATGGAAGGTGCGTCAATGCCAGAGTGTTGAAAAAGCGTTTCCCAAGTTTAACTGCCTCCCCCTTTCAGTTTCAGTATATCCCCAAGTGCCACAAACTCTCGCTTCTCGACGCCGGGTGCCCGCTCACTGCCACTGACCCCACCGAGCGTGCCATTCTCGATCCAAAGTCCGCCGGCGGCTGCCCTGTCCTGTCCGGACGGTTTGGCTCATGCCCTGTCCGAACAGAACCTACGGCTGCAGCAGATCGTCTATGAGAATAGGGTAGGAATTGCCAAGTCAAACAAAATCACCCAACATCTTTTCCAACGACCGTTTCTTTTTCTTTTTGTAGCTACGGGAAGAAGCGTTGCAACGTGAGCTGTACGCAACTCGGTTAGCCCTGCTGGAGAAAACCTGCCACCATTGCAGCAACCAGCAGTACGGTAACGATGACCCGGTATGTGCGAACCAATTTTAACCAGTTGTAAATAGATATTAATGCGTAAGTCCAAAGTCTACAAAATTAGAGTGCAAAATCTAAGACTAACAAAATTAGCTTAATAAAACGAATCATGTTCCTTCCTAGATTAACTTCTCTCAAGCTTTATTCAGCCTAAACTGGGTTTTCGTTTGGTTCTTCTTTTCTCTATACACTATCCTATTTCATCCACTATCGTCTTCTTAAGCTGTGTCTTCTATTTTACTTTTTTATAACTAGTAGCATTGTTATCACTGTTGTTATCACACTATAATAGGTGTACGTTAGCCAGGGGTCTTGTGACGAAGATCGGTTAGAACCGAAATTGGTCACTTTTTCCATCGATGATGTAGTGGTGAAGGTGCCTCCTAGAGCTTCGGGAGGTTTTTACGAATCGGCGAACCTAACGATAACGATGCTGATGATGACCGCGACAAGGGCGAATGACACAGGGCTCATTTTCTGTGACATAGGAAAACAAGAACATGAAGAAGAAATCCGTCGGTTCTGGAAAAGGTACCGGGGTCGGCCGAGTCGTACCCAAAGGATCTGTACCACTATCCACAAGCTGCTCGAAAGAGTCCGAGTGAAGCGTGGCGGTGGCGAATATGTCGATTCCGAGTCGTTGGTTAGTTTTATTTTTCTGTTGTTGTTCGAGTAAAGGTATGTCGCTTCGTTTGAAAAAATATAATTTTCGGAAAACATAACGTTCAACTTCCCAAATTCACGTTTAGGTGCATGTGACTAATCGAAAAAAAATGTGAGCAGGCAAGCACAAAAAAGGATATGCCCCGAGTGAGGATCGAACTCACGACCTTAAGATTATGAGACTTACGCGCTACCGACTGCGCTATCGAGGCTGTGTGAGAGGAGATGAAAATAGCATTGCTGTTGTGAAATAATTCGTTCATCGAAATCTGATGGCACAAGGTGTGGAGCATACAGAATGAACACAAAATGAACCTGTTAAATTTCAACTCGCACTCAAGAAGCTTGAGTGCAATATGCCATACAAGTCACTTGCAAGGAATCATTATGCATCGCGTTCAACACAGCCGATGAGACTAACTCAGAGAGAGCCACTTTTACTCAGTTGTATGAGAATTTTCTAAAACTGTAGGTTACTCAGCGGTAACCTACGTTTTTAGAAAATTTGTCATACAAATTAGTTCAAGTGACTCTCTCTCTCTCTGAGCTTGTATCATTTGCCGTGATTTCAAGCAAATGCTTGATGGCTGCAATACCCTATCTGCTAAGCATGAATGTTGAAAATATTCTAATGATATTATTCATTGGTATATAGGAAGAATATAAATTTAGAAAATACATTACAAAACGTTGGCAAAATGCGCGATGTTTGGCGCTGCGTGAAAATATAGCGCTTCACGGTAATTGATATATAATTATTATTTTTCGAATTTACACGGCCGCTGAGACTTACTCACAATTGAATAGTAGATACAGTGAACTCTCTACAACTCGTTATTTAAGGAACCAACGAGTTATAGAATTATCGAGTTATAGAAAAACAATTCCCTTACTAAATCACCATTACAATCAGTGTTGCCAGATTGTTTTCAAGTTTATCGGCATCAAATGTTTTATAAATCGGTATTTATAGGTATATACTTATATTTTATTAATTCTATATTTGAGTAGTTTTTGAAGACGAAAATTCAAACTTTTGGACTAAGAACAGAGCATTTACTACTTTAGTGGGAATAAATTTCTTGGGAATATTTGAATAAGCTTTTTTTTATAATGTGTTTATTTTTCCAGGCTCATTTGCTGTTGCTTTGCGGAGCCGATATTCATTGTTTAGATCACAAAATTACTTAAAACTAACGTTAGTAAAGCGGAGGCCAATTACTCGTGGCTATCTCGAGGTTAGGGGCAACAAATTGTAACAAATGGATGTCAGGGTAGGGATTGAGAACACAAGGTTTAGAGAGCAATGTGCTCTTGACCTCGAACTAAGCAACATACTGATGAAAAAGACAAATATGGGGGTACACCGATGGGCAGCTAAAACTTGGGAGAACTCAAGATGACACTAGCTACTAAATCCTCAGATCTATCCGGTTTAAAAATACATAAATTAAATTCAAATAGTCGAAATCTCGGCTAGCCAAGACATCTCTAACGGGTATCGCGGGTTGTTTATCTCAGGCCCTGAGGGATGTGGATAACCACTGTCACACACATAAATTGCTGCCTGAGAGCCCAATTCTATAGAAGTGCGAGTTTAACGAACAGTGATTGGACATAAGCCTTGACATAACGCGTATAAAGTCGCGGCTCACGTCCAACCCAAATCACCATCATTGCATTTGTGTTGCCAACTGATAACGACTTGCAGACGAGCAATGGAGAAAAATTCGTTGATTGCAATTTGTCGCTCAAAAATATCGCCTTCCATAGCGCCCACCTTAGCCAACGAGTCCGCTTTCTCATTACCCGGAATTGAGCAACGAGATGGGACCCAAGCTAAGGTGATAGTATAGGAGCAGTTGGATAAAGTGCTTCATCGGCCTCATTAAACAAATAGCTTCCAATGAGCTAAGACTATCCGTAAAAATTAAATAATGGTCAGAAGGTAGTGGGGTAATTCGCTTTACTGCGTAAAATATGGCTGCGAGTTCCGCAAGGTATACGGAGCATGGTTTCTGCAGTTTATAGGAGGCGCTATGAAATTGATTGAAGACACCAAATCCAGTGGAAGCATTTATGGTTGGAGATTAATGAAGAAGGGGCAACGTATAGCGTCATGTACTCATAGTACAAACCCATTAATCTTGTTTGAAGATTTCGGACGAGCAGCTTCTCAATGTTTTTTTTACCAAAGGATTCATTACTTCGGATGAGAAACCGGAAAGACAGTTCAGCGAAACGATCTGTCAGTGAGAGAACACCCGCGAGAACTTCGAGGCTCATCGTATGAGTCGAGTGCATACAGCCAAGCGCGATTCGGAGGCAACGGTATTGAACCCGTTGCAGCTTCGGGATGTGTGTTTTTGTTGCGGATTGAAAGCAGAAGCTACCGTACTTAGAAAATTAATCCTTTGCTAGCATTTTTGTTTCAGATACGCAATATGTTTTTCCCATGTGCATTTGGAATCGAACCAGATACCTAAATACTTAAATGAAATACTTTGAGTGATTGTTTTACCCATTAGCTGAAGCTGTAACTGTGCAGGATAATGCTTCCTAGAAAAAAAAAAACAACCAACTCAGTTTTCTCCGGAGAGAATTCGATACCCAGCTTCATAGCCCAAGTAGACAAATTGTCTAAGGTATCTTACAATGGTCCTTGCAGGTCCGGTGCACTTGGCCCCATAACGGACACAACGCCGTCATCTGCAAGCTGCCTTAGCGAGCAATTTTCATTTGCTGTTTTTGCGCATAGGCCAGTTGAATTTCAGTTGAAAGCAACGCAAGACAGTCGCTCGTTCCTTTGCCTCTCCGAAATCCAAATTGCGTATCTGAAAGTAAACCACTCGACTCGACCCATTTGTCTAGACGAAAAAGGGTCATTTTCTCCAACAATTTCCTTATACAGGACAACATCGCGATGGGACGGTACGAGTTATAATCCGACGCGGGTTTACCGGGTTTACGAATGGCGATAACTCTTACTTGCCTCCAGTCATCCAGAACAATATTGTGCTCCAGAAATTGATTGAATATGTTCAACAAGCATCTCTTCGCTTTGGGAGATTTTGAAGCAAGTTGAACTTGATTCTATCCATTCCTGGAGCTGAGTTTTTACATGAGAGGAGCGCAAGTGAGAATTCCACCATCGAAAATGGCGAATCTATTTTGTTACTACACGACGGACGATCACGAACGTTGGTTTGAACCGACACCGAATCCGGGCAAACTTTCCGCTCGAAGGTGAATATCCAACTATCTGAGTACTCCTTGTCTTCGTTAACCGGTGATGACGCGTTTCGCATTCTCCTGCCGACATTCCATCGACGAACCGACGCACAGAGGAGTAACTGGAACAAAAACCTGGCCAAAATTATATTCACTGGTTTTGAGCAATTTTCTGCTAATATATATTAAAATATTTAATGATAATAGGTTTTTAGACTTCTGTTAACTTTAACTTTTAATATCCATCTACTTAGCAGTGCATATCTGGCCTTTCATCATCCATACGAATAAAAAAAGTAATGGGTTTTGAAAGTAGGATTAGTTTATTTTTCTGCTTAATATAAGGATTATTAAAAAAAATAGCAAAGAAATTATCCAAGAATCATTGTCCTGAAATAAAAAAATAATAAAAAATAACGAAAGTTTTAATAACATAACTTGCGATTTCTTACGTTCGATTAGTTAGAATCTTCGTCTGAGTCGCTGCGAACTTCGTCCTCTGCAGTATTTTGTCCACCTACGATGGCATCCACTTTGAGCATTTGCTGGGTTTCAATGCTGAACGGCTTGCTTTTTCTGATAGGGTTCTTACGACTTGAACTCAAAAAGGGATCCGAACTTAGTAACAACCTATTCAGAATGTCTCGGTTGCATGCTGTTCTCGAGAACTTTCTTGAGAAGTGTTGTCGGTATACTCTAAAATGCTTATTACGAGCTTCAGCGGCTTCCTCAGACATTAAACCAATGGGTAAAAGTGCATGCTCCATAACACTCTTGCCGTGCACCAAGATTTTATGAACAGTAGGTGTCATGGGATGCCAACTGTATAACGATACGTACATCCGGGCTGTGTCAATTGCATATACTGCAAATTTATCAGTATCCACGCTATGGCCACATGTTATTGTTTCAATGATCACCTTGAATCGATAAATCAACCCTTTATCAATCCCGGTTATTTCAGCCACTAAATCGACGTCCTCAAAAAACCGCCTGGCCGTATTACCGTCGTTTGTGTTACCGCAACCTGCTTTTGGTACATCTACCAGAAGTCCTAACTTCGTCTTTATTTCAGCTTGAATCTGCTTTTTTCGATCTGCAACGATCCTTTTATCTTCTTCCGAACGTGCTTGCCATTTAAGTAGAGGCAATTTATAGCTTAAATGAAGTATCAACTCAAAAAAACGAATTCGCACATGCAAAGTCGACAAACCAAATTTGAAGGTATCTGGATCTTCTTCATTTAGTTTTTCTAAATCGTTGAAAGTTCTTGACGTTCCTCCACATATATAGCAACGCATGCTAGACGAGGTGTTGGTTGCCGCATTACATACTTTGGCGTCAACCATGGTGGGTTGAAGTGTTTCCATTGGCAGAACGATATTCTGATCTTGACAGTTGATCAATTTGGTTCTCTACATGTGTGATTTCGTCATTAGTGCTTTCATAAGTTTCACGGAGAAATCGGCCACGAATAGGGCGACAATATCGTGGTGATGACGGAGAAGGATTCTGCCACAACAATTTATGATTGTTTTCGATATTGACAAACAGTCTCAGAGGTACAAAGGAGCTTAAAAAAATGTGATTGTCAGTGTTTTCGTAGTTTTCAAATTTTTGTTTGAACTTGTCCTGCTGAGAACCATCACAACCCCACTTTGAGTAAAGTTCCAAATTTTGTTGTTCGATACGTGTTAAAGTGGTTAAAATTGCATCCAGATATAAACATAACCTTGAAACAGTATGATTTAGTAAACCCTGGAGCTGAATTTCTACGGTAACCTCAAATACAGAAATACATTTTTCTTCGGGATAGCATTGCGTCTTAGCTTTTTGTATTGTTGAATATGATGGATAAATGAACTTATTTGAAGCGTGAATTACTTCCCACTGGCTTCTGGTTAAATCTGCTTCAACAAAAATGGCCAGTGCTTCTGATGGTGATTTCTTAATTACTTTAGGAGATTCAAACTTTGATAATGCTTTTCGATAGGTGCTGGCTTGTGACGGAGTATCGCTAATATCTTTAATGACCGAAGCAGCCGCCGCATTCCCAACAGCTCGCTGGCTCATCTGCGTTGCGTAAGTCAATTCCTCAATAGGAACATTTTCGCGGAGATCTTGTATCTTACGTCGCTTGCTACGAGTACTCAACTCAACAAATTCTTTGCTGGGGCGTCCAGCACCTGAAGTTCTCGTTTTTTTACTCATGGGAAAGCTTAATAATCCCTTCAGCCATTTCGAATGCTTTCGAACAAAAGCCTCTTTATGATACTCGCAACGAGACCATTTTTGTTTAAATTCTGAATATTGTTAACTTTCTTTTAGCAATGTGCAACTTATCTTCCGGGCAGTTGAGTTCTTTTAAAAGTTCATTTTCCATGTAGACCATTTTTTCATCCAATAAGCCATCCCTTCGTAGCATTAACTTATAAAGATAGTGTCTTGTCAAAATTTTGCAACCTTCTCCAAATCCTGTAAGTTCATGCACAAAGAACTTAAAATTACTAACAATTCTGATTGTAATATATACAAGAACATTACTTCAGATTCCCGACGAACTGAGAACAACGCGATAGAAGCATGCAATGTTGAACTTTGATTAACTTACCTTCATCGCTGCTCATGGTTATAAATTATGTAATTTGAAATTTCATTAGCACTTGTCGAGGTCTTGCGTAAATTTGTAGCTGTTAAAACTATTCACTGATCAAACGTAAGCGCATCGGTCACTACAATGGAGCTTTATGACCAAAGACCAAAATTGAATGAAAAAGCTGAATCGGAATCACACGAGATTTACGCTCCGTCTTTGTATGTTTACATTCAAGAATGCGCTGAATAGGTATATAGCGGCATTCAGCTCCAACCTGGTCTATAAAAGGTGTGGAAATGAAGGGCTGAATGTATTGAAGCAGTTCGTTTTTCTCTCGACTTTCATTCCGCTTCTTTCGTACCCTCAAATACGCTCGCCGTGACGTCATAACGATTTTTTCGATCAGCAGACTATAAATCACGCAATATTGACTAAAATTATGCATTTTCGAGGGAAACTTTACAAATTTTACCCATTTTTGATTAATTATGACTCAAAATAGAATAACTTTTGTAGAAATAATAACTCATTTATGAGTAAAATTTTACTCATTTATTTGGCTGGCGTACTTTGTATTCAATATTGAGTAGTTTGCGGTTACCGTGCACAGATTCTTCTTTATTTTCATTCGATATCGTCAGCTATGACGCTCTGCTAGTTTAGCTTGAACGAACCTACACAGAAAAACAAAACTCCCCACCGCTTGAGTTTTTTAAACTCAAATTTGAGTTATTTGACCTCTGCCCGTTTCATTTCCTCTCGCTATTGTTGTCAAAAATAGAACGAAAGATTCGACTCAACCGTCTAGTTCCGTACGAGAAGCCAAAATTGAGTTATATGCGATATACCCAAATTTGAGTTAATTGAACTTAATTTTGGGTAGAAAAAATTGAAAATAACTTAGCGATGGGTAATTTTTTTTGCCGTGCTTAAATGCAAACTACTTTGAGCCGGTTTACCCAAATTTGGCTTATCGTACGGAACATGGGAGATGAGTGAAAAGAACTTAATTTTGGGTTGTTTTGAATTTCTGTGTATGTGTATGTAAAATCGAATGGGTAAATGCTTGTGTGTGTATGAGAGAGTATTACAACCAAATGGCACTCGCTAATTTTCAAAATTTACAGTATCTACCTGAAAAGTGAAATAATTTATGGGGTAAACGGTCTGTGATAAACATTGATTTACAAGGCAAAGAAACCTTACTCTTGCTACACACACAAATTATAAAAATAAACTAATGACACATGGCTTTTCTAGCGTTACACTCCTTTATGCTAGTATATCAATTGAGGTACTAGATTTAAAAACTAACAACATAAGTAAAATGATGCTGGCCATGGGTATCAAACCGGGAGTAGTTTACTGAAGTGTAATTTTAATCTAGTACCACAATTGATGTAATAGATTGAAGAAGGACAGAAGTAGTACTCGGTAAGTTTGTCATAGGTATCTGCAGAAAACCGTTGTGTTACGGAAGTTTTCTGGTAGTATGACCTTATAAAGGGTAAGTGCCACGAAATGATGCAAAACATACCATTTTCAAATGGCTCGCAATCGCAATTCCGGACGACTCCGGACGAGATTTTCAAGCCAATGTGTTCATAATAACGTGAACTTTCATTCGTTCATAGATTATATGATCTGATCGCGCAAGACTCCACAACTTTTTCAAGTCTGAAACAGCACAAAAAAACATAAAAAATACATTTTTTTTTCATATTGTTGAAAAAATAAGACATTATATAAATTTAAAGGTTTTTATCTCATAACTTGTTAGAAAAGAGCCTAAACTACCCATTTTATTATAACACTTGTCTCTTGATCAAATTGTTTGTATCTGGTAGGCGTAATTATAACATGGTTACTTTTTGGAAAACAAGAAGCTTCGAATTTCTTCAGTTTTTGAACACGTCTCAAAATTTGTAAACAAAATGTAACGTTTTTATTCCGTTACCACTTTATGCTGCATATATTGCAATATATAAAAAAAATATTGAAGCATGAAAAATCAAGAAAATCTTGTTTTCTTATTTTGGCCAGGTTTTTGTTCCAGTTACTCCTCTGTGCGACGCCAGTATCCGCGTTTTTTGGCTTTAATCAAGCCCTTAAAAGTTTTCTCGTGGTTGGTGTACCGCTCGAAATCCCCGAACTTACCGTGTTTGCTGAAGCGTTTAAACGCGGTGGACTTCTCGCTGTTTGCGTCGGTGCTATCCTTATCCCAACACGGAGTGGGAGGTCGTTTGCGAACGGAAACACCCGGAACGTGTTTTGTCTGTGCTATCAACGATAAGTCGCGATAAAAAGGACTACTCATCCAGCGGAGGGAGTATCTCAACCGCATCAGTACCACCGAGAACCGCGGACGCAAATTTTACCAGTCGATGTTTTTCGTGAAATCGTACACGATATCAACCGAGTGGGTGGACGATGAACCATTGGTAATAGAAATTTTGATTGGCAAGTGGTCACTACCGTAGGGATCTTGAATTACTTTCCACGAGCAATCCAACGATAGTGAACTCGAACTGAGGGAGAGATCTAATCTACTTTCTCTTGCTGGAGGTTTGGCCACTCGTGTTACTTCCCCAGTGTTTAGAATTGTTATATTGAAGTTATCGCAAAGGTCGTATATGAGGGTTGCGCGGTTGTCATCGTTCAGTTCCCTCCAGCCTGTACCGTGGAAGTTGAAATCTCCTAAGATCAACCGAGGCTCAGATAAAGCTGAGCAGATATCTGAGAGACCTTGGCGAGAGATTGCAGTTCTTGGAGGAAGATATACTGAGGCAATACTGAGGCTTTTACCTCGAATATGCGACAACTTCAATTCCTGTCACGGAATTCGAATTAGCTTCTGAAAGAACCCGAGAAAACTTCCAGAGAGCGAATAAAGAAGTTCTTCTGGAGGAAATTTAAAGAAAGTTGTAAGCTAAGCAGCAAAAACAAATTTGGGGTGTTTGCTTGAAAAATAATGATTAACTTCTGGCAAAAATTCAAAGAAACTTTCGGAAAAAAAAATCGGATGACACATCCAGTGGAAGTCAGAAGAAGCTCGGAATAATCTTCCCATAGAAGTCGGGTAAAACAACCTACGGAGAATGGCTTATGGTGAAACTTCCAGAGGAAGACGAAAGCAACTTCTGTAGAAGTTTAATGGAACTTCCTGGAGAAGACGGAAGAAACTTCTTGGAGACTCTGGGAGTAACTTCCTTCAAGGAGAAGTTAAGGAAAAAATCCGGAAGAAACATATTTCTGGAGGATGTTCTTTCAAATTTCATGTAGGCTGTAGAACGAAACACCTGATCGCTAGTACAAAAATTAGCACACTTACCCTAAATAGATTGTAATTGTACAATCGTACAGAATTTTAAACAACGATTGTCTTGTTCATGAACTTTAATGGATGTTTTGGATGGATAGATGGATGAATTCATGAACTTTAATGGATGTTTTATAACTTTATGATTCGATATAATCGACAGCCCATCGCTGAAAAAAAACAAAGAAGTTCTCATACTTCATTTTCTCTGGAAACAAACACACATTCCTGTATCATAAAAGTGTTATCTTTATTCTGCGCCCTCTAACCGCACGTACATTATAAGCACCTCATTCAAACACCTTTTCCATTGCATAGATTGTAAATGGCCTATAACTAATGCCCCGTGGGCTAATTCTTATTCCAGGCTTCCCTGGTGGACTCAATGAACGAGAACGCCTCCAACTGTTCGTGGGAAGCGGTAGACGAACGTAGTGCCCCGTCGTCCGGAGCAAACTCGTCGCAGCAAATCACCAGCAGTGTCCTGTGGGTACCGGATCATGCCGTATCGAGGTGTACCACGTGCCAGACCGAGTTTTGGCTCGGCCGACGGAAGCACCACTGTCGTTCGTGTGGGCACATTTTCTGCGCAAACTGTGCCCAGTACTGGGCTCCACTTTCCGACGGAAAGCTGTACCAAACAGTACGATTATGCGGGCCCTGTTATCAGAACGTTTGCGGCAAGATGGTTGTAGGTGATCCATTGGAGTGCCGATATCGATACTTTTGCAATTTTTCATCATACACTTTTTCAGAGTAGCCATCAACCGTCAACGAGCGGTAGCATAATTGTAAATAGTATCAGCAGTAGCAGTAACAACAGCCAACACATCAGCAATAGCATGAATGGAAGTATCCTAGCAGCTACCAAACAGCACAACGCTTCATCTTCATCGCCCGTGAATCAGATGGCAAGCAGCAGTAATGGCGTTGCGGTTGCATTGATGACGTCCATCAATACTGCCACAATAGGCAACAGTAATTGCAAACACGTCGTTACGTCAGTAGCTAGTACATCGTGCAGTGCTAGTGCCAATAGCGGTACCGACCGAGAAGCTTGTAAAGCTACTACCGCTACGAACTAATTGCATGTCCTGGTCTATTCTGTTATCCTTTGTTGCATGTAAGTCCCCTTGTTTTTATTCCCTACTTTCTGCTTTATTTATGTTCTGTCCTGTAGCTTATTGTTTCTAAATGTTTCTTTTATTGGTGAATCATTATTCTTTTTATTTAAATCATGATTTTACCCCTCACTATTTGAGGATCATGCAGCACATGTTGATAATAATTGTCCTTCAAATTGTGAAAATGGAAAAGCATATTCAAAAGTTGAATGTTCTATGAGAGCTTTTTGAACAGATTGAACAGAAATATATATATATGCAACATATAATGTTACAAATGGTGAAATATTGATATAAACATAACTTAACAAAATCGATTAAAAACAAGTCGTATAACAACATACACAAACATAGAAAGCAACCTATTAGGAGAAAGTCTGTGAACATCACGATCCGTATACATACAAAAAATATTCATAGACATATTAAATCAATGAGTGATTGCTAAACTGTAAAAAGGCACGAGCTAACGTTGCGTTTGCACTATTACCTAAAACAGTCCGAAGTCCCGTCCGTTGCTTTCATATGGTTTCAATTGTTTTGATCTCTAGCTTAGCCGACCTAGAGAAGTTTTCGGTGAAGTATTTTTTCAATTCAATCGGGAATCACTAGGGGAACTGGGGGTAATACGGACATCCTGGTAAATACTGCTTAATATAATTATAATATCAGTATTGTGTAGGTTAAACTCATGCTTAGAGAAGCTACATATACCAATTAAGGTTGAATGTTATACTTAATTATCTTAAAGATAAATCGTCCAGCTCAAACCTTTGTAGGGGTAAGTGGTGGGACCATTATCATCATCATAAATAACATGGACGGGGCAAGATCGCCACCCTAAAATAATTTCTATATGTAATAAAATATTGTCTGTCCTAGTTCTTTAAGGTCTTCTCTACAGAGGGGTTGATATAGTTAAATTTATTCAAATTTGACTATTTACAAAATGAATTACAAAAGTAACTTTTTACACCGTTCTCAGACTCCCCGTGGCAAGATGAGTACCCCTGTGGGGGAATACGTTCACCTATAGCAGAATTTGTTCTTATATATTTTTGAGTTTGTAAGAATCTTAGTTTATCAAAATAGAATACCAGAACGAAGTTGAATCATTAATTGAAAGTTGTAACAAACGCGTACGATCATAACAAAATAAGGTGTTTTTTTCCGTTCGGCATATTTTCATCAATTTCTCTCGGTAGTTGGAACGGTGCATTTTAGGATCATTGTTGAAAGCAGGCCAGCCCAACGTACGACCCGTGGGTCGCATTCGGCCCGGAAAAAGTCTTTGTATCCGGCCCGCGGTTTGTTCCATTCTCGTTGATCTTTGAAAGACGAGAACTTAGAAACATGTTTGCGGATTTTCGTAACATTTTCTAAAATCAATATACAACGATACAATATTATAGATACTATAGATTTCATAGATAAGCAAAGGCACAAAAAGTTGTTTTGGTTATTATGAAAAATAAATGATCTTACTGGCATCCGTTAAAAATGTTCATGCCATCATAGAGCTCTTCGTTATGCAGTTTGATTTTGCTTTGTTTCTTTCGTGCGCAAAAGTTCAAAATGAAGTGCAAAGCAAATCTTTGCAGTGGTTTCCTTCTTCCGTTTTCCGTGAAATAAATCGGATTGTGTAGTGTGAAAAGCGTTTTGTGTTCATAATATTACAATACTTCCCCCGCAATCTATATACAATATAAAGACGTGTGGCATAGCCTTCATTCTGGCTTGCGCTGCTTGGCCGGTTTTCATCGGGATCACGTCATCAGACCTACCAATGGCTCATGTCATCAGACCGCCACAATGGCGTCAACCAGCTGTGTCCACTCCGTTGACAGATAGGTCACCGTCGGTATCCTAATGGCAGTTAGCAGCGCTACAATGCTCTGAGTATCCTTCGTACATCCCAGTGCAGTAATCAGTTCCGTTCGTTGGGCTTGATTCTTCGATGCAACCATCTTTGGGACCAAGTACGACAACTCTAGGTAAGATCCATCCCGGAGACCGTGGCAGTACACCGCGGACGCTACATCCGGATGAACGATGATTTTTTCTTCGATTTCCCGTTTCAAAGCGGCGTAGGTTTTGTCCAAGCAGTCCTGATTTCCAGCTCGACAAGCCCAACTGGTGATCGTCTGCTTCAGGTATTTGTGAATGGCAGATTCCTCGGTAGTAACGGTGTCCACCTGAAGAGTTTTGTAGACTTCCGAGACGATTTCGTCGACGAAGCGTACGAATCCAGCGTAGTGAGCGGTTCCTTGGAGTTTATCGTGGAAGTAGTTTAGAACGTTGTTTGCTGCGGCCCACGGAGCGTACTCCATTTCCAAGCGTAGATACGTGAGAAGCTTCAAAGCTACGGCCATATCCAGGTACTCCGCTCGAGCCAAATTGAAGGCGTCGTCAATCAGTTGGGCTCGGTTCGCTTTGGGAATAGCTAGCGGATTAGTGAGCAACGTATCGATGATCAGTTCCCAATTCCGTTGGTCGTAGTTAGCTCGGTAGTATCCGAACTGATCTCGATTGAAGATAATAAATTGGTTTTCTGGAGTTCCGGTAGTAAGCATCGATGCTTTGCTGGTTAGCCAATAGAAACCGTTCTGCTCCTCAACAGCCTTGCGAGGACTCCGGTCAACGTAGTTGAAGGGAATGTGCCAAACGTGGCTGTTCGGGAGTCGTTTGTCTGCTAGGAACTGTTCCTGAGAAATCACAACTCCTCTGGTTTTGTAGATGCGACGAACGTCCAGAACTGGATATCCAGCTGCATTCGTCCACGACTCCATAAGCTGTTTAATGCTATACGAGTCTGGAATGGCATTCTTACCTTCGATGGCTACTTGAAGAGCTTCATACAGATCATCTGGGGTTGCACTATTTAGTTTGTGTTGAGAACACTTCCAGCTGAAACGAACAAAGTTTTCAATTACCAAATTCCAGTTAACAGAAAACGATTCTTACCCTTCTGATAGGCGATGATGTCGAACAAGGCATGAACCTCGTCCTGTGAAGCCGCCGGAGTATTCATCGCTCGGGTATTCTCGCTGGCATCTGGTCCGAACGCCCGTTGAATGACCTCCACGTTGAATAGCTCCCAGTATTCCAGCTCTGGATAGACCAACACCGTAGCATAGTACTCGTACTGACTTTGGACTGACCAGATTACCGAACCACTGATGCGCCAACTCATGTGCAACGTGTGACTCAAATAAATATTCAAAGTAGTTAAACAAACGTTCTCTATTCCGTGTTCGATCACTACATTGGTGACCCGCGACGTCGCGAATCGTTAAGTTTCGGTTCGATTACACGGTTACATATCCATATTCGCCTAGTTTAATCTCAAATCCAAAACTCTAACCTAAAAATGCCTAACTATAACGAGAGCAACATAACCGTCGCGGCTATGTGGTTCGCGTAAGCGGAAGCATAGTTCAGTGACGAAACTAAGTTTTACCACATCGTGTCCAAAATGCATCATACAAGACGGTAAAGGATCGCCTAATTTCTCGCTTCGCCTTGTCTAAAAGTCGCTTCGAAGAGTTGCTGAGAGCCCACGATCTTGGCGATATGCGCCCACCCAACGCATCTTTTGGCAAAAATGAGAGAACTGTCGACGTGTTTGGGAGTAGATAACAATCTGCTCAAAATGATTTTCATTCAACGTCTTCCGGCAAACATTGGACCAATCCTCACATGATGGTACCATCGATATGTTGGCTGAAATGGCAGACAAGATTACTGACGCCTCCAATGGTCATTCAACAATGGTCGTTCAACAATAGTGTTGAAAGGAAGCTAGCTGAACAGATCGAACTTCTAACTACGGAAATCCGACGCCTGAAGGTTCGCAACCCTGAACGGGGTCGCCCGTTTTCGCAAAATCGGATTGATTCTCGTTCGTCATCACGATCCGGAATGTGCTGGTACCATCGAAAATATGAAAACGATGCTCAGCGGTGCCGAGAACTGTGTTCATGGAGTTCAAAAATTAAAACCCTCCCCACCATCATCGGGCGGTGGTGAAGGTAATACTGGGTCAGACGTCACATTATTAGCCGCTTCCCGGAGAGATCGATCGAACGATACCGTTATGCAACATCTCCACGCAGCTAACGGAACAAAATGTCTACCTGTTGACCTGGGATTGAGACGAAGGTTCACCTGGAATTTCCTCGTTGCTGAAGTAACGATGCCAATAATCGGGGCTGATTTTTGGGCCCACTTCGGTATACTCGTAGATTTGAAAAACCAAAAATTGATATATGGAAAGACAGGCTTAAAGTCTTTTGGCGGTAGGATGACTGCTGCTCTGCATAGTGGTGCCGATCATCGATTTACTCATGAAGTACCGAGAAATCACCCTGCCTTCGACGCTTCGGTCTGTCACACAGTCTAACGGACAAAGTTAAAGCACCAAAGGAAGAGTTTCGCCATATGTGTGACCTTGGAATTTGCAGTTGGGCAAGCCCCTTGCATTGTGTGCTTTATAAAAACGGACAATGGCGCTTCATTGGTGACTACCGTCGCTTAAATCATGTCACTACCCCTCACCGTTATCAACGATCTGCTGCATTTGTTTCATGGTAAGTCAGCTGTTACAACTCTTGATCTGGACCGTCGTAGTGAAGAAAGCAGACATTCCCAAAACGGCAGTCATCACACCGTTTGGCTTGTTTGAATTCATCCGAATGCAATTTGGCTTATGTAACGCAAGTCAGATGTTTCAGCGCTACATGAACCAAATCTTTGGTGATTTTGATTTCGTTGTCGTCTTTATCTATGCCATATGCATCGCTTCTGAATCTCTTGATGAACACCAGGAGCATCTACGCATAGTATTGACCGCCAGCATGGACTCGTTCTAAATTTGGGTAAAAGCGTGTTTGCCCAAAAGGAAGTGTAGTGTTCACTCGACTGTCGACAGAAGTAGACCATTCTCGATGTGTGTCACGCGATCGTCTGTTTACTCGGCAGTAACCATTGTGTGGTACTCCTCATTGTTCTTCATCGCCATTTTCGTTTGGTCGATGCGTCGTCGACTTTGGAAAGCAACCGTTTCGTGATGAGTGTATGAGGCTGACCAAGTTTTGCGTCCATTGCTGCAATGGAAGCGGTCTGCTCCTCGTTGGCGATACTGCCATACAATGAAACCACTGGAACCGGCTCCCGTTCTGATGGAGGAGGCTTATTGGATAGCGGAAGATAAAGTGTTTATTGTGCTGTACCTTTATTGTAGAGTGAACAAGATTCGTTTGAGCCTAATCAAATAAATTAATAAACAACAAAAGGAAGTGGATTTTTTAGGATACACGATCAACAGTGATGCCAGTGCGCCCTCTTCCAGCACGCGTCCAGTTTATTTTGGATTACAAGAAGCCGACTACCGTAAAGGAACTCCGTCGCTTTCTAGCACTCGCCAACGGATAAAAATGCTTTGTTCGTCGTCACGCATCCGAAATTCAAGCTGAGCTTCAGAAGCTTAACCCCGGAAACAGGACAAGTACAGCTTTGTCCAGCTTTGAGCGTTGTAAGAAATCGTTAGCGGATGCAGCACTGCTTCACTATGCTGAGTTGTCGAAACCGTTAGCTATGATGATCGATGCCTCGTATATTAAAGCGGGGCTATCTTACAGCAGCTAAATGGTCAAAAATGGGAACCAATTGGATTTTATTCATAAAAGTGTTCGATGTCACAGCTGAAGTAGCTTTTGGCCGTGAACTGACAAGCGATGAAAATGAAGGGCGCTACTTCACGATCTTCACTAACCACTGTCCGCTAACGTACACGCGTTAACAATCGAGTCCAACTCTCAGCTGCCACATGAAGAACGATACCTCCGTTTCGTATCGGAATTTACTACGGATATACAACAAGTCAGTGGAAAAGAAAACTACGTTGCCATTGTCTAGTGTGGAAAGGGTGGAAAGTATACAAACGCCTACTTCGGTGGACTATGAAGAATTCAGACGAGAGCAGAAAAATGACGCGGAACTTCTACAGCTTATGCAGTCCAAATTTACTTAGCTGAAATTTGAAGTTAAACGGATGAGTGGTTGCCCTCAACAGATCTACTGTGACGTCTCTACTGGAAAAGCACGACCATTCGTTCCAAGCACTCAACCCAAAACCATCATGGAATTTCTCCCTCCGAGCGATTCGTTTGGCCAGCTATGAACCGTGACATGAATGCGTTTGTGAAACACTGTGTGGACCACCAAAGGTCGAAATTTCATCGACATACCGTCTCTCCGTTGGGACAATTTGATCTACCGAATGCCCGTTTCTAACACCTACATATTGATCTAGTTGTACTTTTGCCGTCATCAAAAGGATGTCGCTACCTAATGACCATGATTGAGCTGTTCCTCTTGTAGATTTGACGGTGCTGACTCAAGCACTGTACTCGACATGGATAGCAAAATTTGGCGTCCCAGAAAACTGACAACCGACCAGGAAAGAAAATTTTAGTCTGATCTTTTCCGGGAGCTGACGCGAATGTTGGGCGTTCACCATATGACTGCCTATGACCCACAAGCGAAAGGCATCGTAGCACGTTTTCGTCGAACATTAAAAGGATCAGTAATGGGCGTTAATTCTAAGAATTGGTGCAATGAACTCCCAATGATACTATTGGGACTCAGGGTGGCCTTTAGGGACGACCCAAGGGATGACCTGTATATCTCTAAAGTGCAGATCTGCCCCTATGACCCCCTTCTGTGTTTGAAAACGAAAACGAAAGTGAAAGTTTGTGAGTTTTTTTATATTTGTTGGACTTTGAAAAAAAATCCAAAGTGAAATTTCTAGGTTTCTGGCACACAGTTCCAAAGGGTTTGAGGTCAATCCTATATGTGGCAAAAGTAGCAAAATATTAGTCGGTCCTTGCTAACGAAAATCGTTACTTTTTCGTGGTATAAGTTTTCTGGGAATTGTACCATTCTCGGAGAACTGGTTTTCATACAATCCATCCTGAGCAGCTCACAAATTAGCGTAGACCGCAGTGCGTTCATTTGCTTGTGCACAAGCTATCACTCAACATTCCCGTATTGCACACAAGACGGTTCATTCCACACGGAGGATTATCGGTAAAGAAGAACATTAGGCTGGTCGTTTTGCGCGATTGCGCTTCCCCAATTATTGGTGCGGCTCTGCCGTTTAAACTTTATTAACCATTAATTATTATCATTGTGCACTGGGGGGTTTCCCTTAAATATCACATTTCTATTACCTAGGTATACCTGAATGCTACTTAAATGTCTATATAAGTAGAACTACACTGCAAATCCTCGATAAACATTTCTGGAACACTTTTGTTACATTTTGTGCTGTTTTTGGTTCGATGGCTCGTTGGCAAATAGTATAATGGATGTAGAATAGGATAGGTAGACAAGGTATTGAGAATTTCAAAATTTCCTACGAAAAACCGGTTATACATTTTTAGGAATAGGACTATATCCTGAGTAAACTGCGCGATATGAGCGATTGAAAGATACTTGAATAACTCACCGATTGGCAACTGTTTGGCAAAATCTTCTCTCCCTCGCTTTTACTTGAACATCACTACAACGACTATAATCAAGATAACAATCAAAACTATATAGAAATTAAAATTGAATCCTACGTCGTGCCATCAAACCGACTCCTGCGCCATTCGGTACTCGAACAGGCTACCGCGCTCAAAGAACGCCTTCGACGGGTCGTCATCCATCAGGTCCAATATGGGGAAAGCATTCGTCGCGGGTCGTCCATAACCGCCACCTCCAGGCGTTTTCATTGAGAAGATGTCCTGGGGGAAAAACAGAAAATTATTTGAAACCAATCCATTGAAATAAACCTATATCCCCGCACATACCCCAGTTTCCACGTCGATTGCCGTTTTGCTGCCCAAATTGATGATTTTGTCCTTCTTTATCAGAAGATTCAATCCACTCTTGGCCGGTTCGCCCCCAATCATGCCGTACGGCTGCAAGGTTCGTCTTTCGGTTAGCACCGACAATGTCATCGGCTTACGGAAGAGCAACTCCCGATGGACACCTTCGCCACCTCGATACATACCGGCCCCTCCAGATTGATCGTCTCGCAGCGAGAACTTCTTCAGGATGATCGGATATCGCAGCTCCAATATTTCCGGATCGGTGATCCTGGTGTTGGTCATATGCGTATGTACTCCTCCCGTTCCGTGCCATCCCGGGCCGGCACCGCTCCCACCGGCAACTGTTTCATAGTAACCCCAGTTCGCATCTCCGATCGTAACGTTATTCATACAACCTTGCGATGCTGCACAGGTTCGGAATGCTTTGAACACCGTGTCGACGATACGCTGCGATGTCAGGACGTTTCCTCCGACCACCGCTGCATCTTCCGACGGATCGAGGATGGAATTATTCGGTATCGTCACCTGGATCGGTGCAAGACAGCCCTGGTTCAACGGGACATCGTGCCCGACCATGCAACGAAGACAGTAGATCAAGGCTGATAGGGTAATGGCACGCGGTGCGTTACAGTTGCCATAGACTTCCGGTCCGGAACCACTGTGTGAAAGATGCAAATTAATATTCAATCCGGATTCTACCACCACGCACCACGTGTGGATATGCTTACCTAAAGTCACAGATGGCAGATCCTTCTCTTTCATCGATGGAAACTTGCAGACGAATCGGGGAACCATCATCCATGTACTCTTCCGCTTCGAGAATTGTCGATCCCGTTCTGAAATTTCAGCAAATGTAACCGTTTATGAACACCACCAAAACGTGCCACCTACCTCAATTTGGTCTCCTTGGCAATCTGTCTTAGCATATCCCGCACGGCCAGTTCCGCATTCTGCTGCATGTAGCCCATGTAAGCCTGAACCACATTCAACCCGTAGCTGTCGATCAGCTCTGCCACCAGTTGGATACCCTTCTGATTAGCTGCGATCTGTGCTTTCAGATCGGACAAATTATCCGACAAATTCCTAGTGCCCGTAGCTCCGGGAGCATCCGTCGGTGTGACCAGACGTTCTATGATTTCCTCTTCCTTGAATACGCCCCCGTCCACCAGCAAAAACGATTTGAATGCTGCACCCTCCTGCGCCAGCGACTTGGAATGCGGTGGCATCGATCCGGGTGTAATACCTCCGATATCGGCGTGATGACCGCGGGATGCGACGAAGAACACCGGCTTCGGGATCTCCGGGTAGAACACCGGTGTTATGACTGTCAAATCCGGCAGATGAGATCCTCCGGCTTGTGGATGATTGGACAACACGACATCACCCGGTTTGAGCGTTTCACCTCGGACCTTGATCTGATACTGGACCGTTTCCTGCATGGCACCCAAATGTACGGGGATGTGCGGTGCATTGCTGACTAGACCTCCGTTGGGACCGAACAGAGCACAGGAGAAGTCCAACCGTTCCTTAATGTTGGTTGAAATGGCCGTGCGCTGCAGAACTCGTCCCATCTGCTCGGCAATACTCATGAAGCGATGATTGAAGATGCTCAACTGAACGGCATCCAAACGTTCGTCGATCCGTTTGTTCGCATTTCCGGATGCGACTTCAACGATCAAATCCCCCTTTGAGGTTACCAGCGCTTCGCAACCCGGTTCGATGACGATGGTGGAAAGTTTGTCAATAAGGATCGCTGGACCCTGAATCGTATGGCCACTACACAACTTGGAGCAATCAAAAACGGGAGTCACCTGTGAGCCTTCCTCAAAGTAGCTGGTGGTCGTCTTTTCTGGATATATTGGTCCGTTTGCTTCCGGAATGGTTTTTTCCTCGTACACTGATGATTTTCCGGATCCTCGAACCCGGATGTCGTCTACGATTATTTTTCGATTTTCTAGGACGAACCCAAATTCGCTTTTGTAGCGCTCGAAGAAGGTCTTCTCAAAGTCCCCGTACGTATAGATGTAGTTCTCTTGGTTGTTGATGACCTTGTCCGGAGCACACATCAAGGCACAATCCGTTCCATCGTAACGCAGGTGCAAATATGGTTCCAGAACTATAGCATCCTCCGGGAAACCCTGCGCTAGCAAATGTTCTCTACAAGCGAGGGACAACTCGTTCAGCTTGTCTCGGATTGCCAATCGATTATCCTCATTTAGAACCAAACTAGCCGGTTCCTGTGCTTCATGGACCACATCTGCCAGGGCCATACCATAGGCAGACAGTATTCCGGCATACTTGTGAACCAGTACCTTGCTCATGCCGAGTTCCTTGGCAATGCTGCAGGCATGCTGCCCTCCGGCTCCCCCGAAGCAAGCCAACACATGTTTCGAAGTGTCGAGTCCACGTGCCTGAGTCAAAGCCCGAATCGGTCGACACATGGCTTCATTGGCCACTCGAATGAATCCCATTGCAATTTGCTCCAACGACAGAGGTTTCTCGCTTTCGCCAGATTCCATTAGATATTTATTAATCTCCTGCTGTAGAACGGTGAATGCTTGCTTGGTGGCCATATAGTCTAGCGCTTCGTTCTCATCCGGACCGAAAATCTTTGGAAAATACTCCGGAAGCAGACGTCCCAGTATCAAATTGGCATCAGTTACCGTCAGTGGACCATCTTTCTTGTAGCACGTTGGTCCCGGGTGAGCCCCCGCCGATTCCGGTCCTACGACAAACAGTCCCGATCGGAAGAACAAACGCGAACCACCTCCCGCCGCTACCGTGTTGATGTCCAGTTGGGGGGCTTGGATGGTCACTCCCGCTGTAGTAGATTCAATCACGTGATCATAGGTACCGGCAAATCTGGATACATCCGTCGACGTGCCACCCATGTCGAATCCAATCAATGGTTGCCCTTCGGAATCCCTTGAACCGGTGACAGCATATCCGACGACTCCCCCGGCAGGGCCACTCAGGATAGCCCTCGCACCCCGGAAGTTCTCCATCTTGGTCAATCCTCCATCGCTTTGCATGAACAGGACATCTACTCCTTCCAGTTGATCCTTGAAACCGGCACGGAAACTGGCCAGGTATCGTTCCACATGCGGTGTAAGATAGGCCTCGGCACAAGCAGTGAAACCTCTGGCCACCAGCCGGCACATGGGCATTGCCTTGTGTGACAACGTGACATGCCGGAAGCCCACCTCATGCGCAATAGCCCCAATGCGCAGTTCGTGATCCGGACAGGCATAGCTGTGTGCCAGGACGACCGCTAGCGATGTGATTCCCTTATCCAAAACCTCAACTAATTTGGCACGAATTTGCCTTTCGTCGATGGGGACCATTTCCAAGTAGCGCGCATCCGACGCCCCCTGCAATTCGGCCCAAGCTTGATCCAGTTGGCAAATGTCATGCTGGGCCGGGACGAGTCTACAGTCGATTTCGATTACCTCTCGGTACAGATTTGACGGTTTTTGGATGTTCTGCAATGGGAAAGAATATTGAAATCCATTTTTCAATGGAGACGCATTGTGCTTTGCTCACCAGTTGAAAGATGCTGGGCCTCGCCTGGTTACCAATCTGCAGCAGATCCCGAAAACCTCGGTTAACCACTAACGCGACCGGATCACCGGCTCTCTCGAGCAGTGCATTGGTGGCCACCGTGGTTCCCATGCGCACCCAGCCTATCAACTCGGTGTTAACTAATCCACCAGGCGTTCGCGATTGTGGACCCGTCTCATGCGCCAGGATCCTTCGAATTCCTTCCGTCGGTGCATCGGGATAGTTTGCCGGATCCTCCGAGAGTAGCTTCAACGTACGGATCCCCCCGTCAGGTGTGATGCACAGCACATCGGTGAAGGTTCCTCCACGATCGATTGCGAAACTGTACTTGCCACTAGCCATAATCTCTGGTATCACTCGTCCGTCCGGCTAGCAGTGAATCTTCAGCACGACTGATTGTCGCCTCGCCTCCAATGAGACGGTGATAAATTGCGCTTTAGAATGAGATAGCACTTTTCTACCTTTTGTTTTTATCAACAATGTTAGATCAGCCAGTAGATTACACCATTATAATATTGTAAAACACAGTATCACCACCAGTGCTGCTGAAAACCGAAAACTTTTCACTGGCAATTATTGTGTAACGCGTACATGGGATATATGTACCTAGTCGATTGATGATGATTATATGAAAGCGCAGAACGAGCTGAATTTGGCTTGACTCTTGCCTGAATAATTTAATAAATCTATGAACAATATATGATGGTACACAGCCAAGCTCAACGAACAGAACGGACAGCGAAATGTAAATAAAAATTCGGCAATGGCACAACAACTAACAACACCAGCTGATAAGCTTTGTATGAAGAAGGCAAACAGCTTGACAGGCTGGACAGCATCACGCGATGGGCTGTGGCGACGGGAATTGGGATTTAAACATTACAATTCCAAAATTAATCCTCCGGTTCGGGTTGGGCAAAAAATCGATAGGCAACGTTCGAACTCGCTATATGTTTAATAGGGTGGGTCATCTTTGCATTGGCTGTACTACTTTTTTGATCTAATACGGTAGATTGTTATAGTTTGTAAGGGGAAAATTTGAGGCAAACGGTAAGAAACAATTTATTTGCTAGCCACATTCCCGAATCTGGAACTATGCACAACAACTTTGTCGAAAATCGCAAATCGGTTCGACTTCTGCGTAAAAAGTGATCATTTTTTTTTCTTTAGCCCAAGTGGTACTGGTATTGGTAGCGATAAATGCTTTCAAATATAGTTACTGTAGTGACAATGTTAAAGAAATAAGCGACCAAATAGTGACTTATAGACCTTCATGTCAAACACTGTCGAATGCTTTTCCTATGTCTAGAAGAACAACTCCTGTTGAGCAGCCTTCAGATTTGTTTGACCGAATTAAATTAGTAACTCTTAAGAGTTGATGAGTAGTTGAATGCCCATGGCGAAATTCAAACTGCTCATCTGCAAAAATTGAGTTCGTATTGATGTGAAGCATCATTCTATTTAAAATTATCTTTTCAAAAAGTTTACTTATTGAAGAAAGCAAACTTATTGGACGGTAGCTAGAAGCTTCAGCTGGATTTTTATCCGGGTTCAAAATTGGAACAACTTTTGCATTTTTCCATTTATCAGGAAAGTATGCCAAATGGAAACATCTGTTAAATAATTTTACCAAGAAAGACAAGGTACTCTCTGGGAGTTTTTTGATGAGGATATAGAAAATTCCATCATCACCTGAAGCTTTCATATTTTGAAATTTTTTAGGTATAGACCTTACTTCGTCCAAATCAGTCCCCCAGGAATCATCAAAAATATTTTCCCGAGAGAAAATATTCAGATAATCCCGAGCAACCTGATTCTCAATAGGACTAGTAAGACCCAAACTGAAATTATGGGAACTCTCGAATTGATTAGCAAGTTACTGAGCTTTTTCCGAATTTGTGATCAAAATGGTACCACTTTCTTAAAGTGCTGGAATAGGCTTTTGAGGTTTTTTCAAAATTTTTGTGAGTTTCCAATAGGGTTTGGAACTCGGGTCTAATTTCGAAACATTATTTTCAAACGTTTTGTTCCTCAGGGCAGAGAATCGCTTTTTAATTTGTTGTTGCAAATCCCGCCAGATAACTTTCATGGCTGGATCGCGTGTTTTTTGATATTGTCTCCTACGGACATTTTTAAGACGGATCAAGAGCTGAAGATCGTCGTCTATTGTAATTGAATCGAATTTAACCTCGCATGTTGGTGCTGAGGCAGCTCTTGCTTCAACTATAGAAGTAGTCAGAGATTCAAGAGCATAATAAATATCATTTTTGGTTTGCAAAGGATATGGATACATTCCATAAATGTTCGATATTGCTCCTTTGGTAATTGAAAGTAAAGCTGTTGGGATTAGAAATTATTTCTTGGGATATTTCAAAATTTACTGGGAAGTGATCAGAACCGAAGTCAGCATGGGTAACCAATTGGCTACAAAGATGACATGAATCAGTTAAGATCAAATCAATAGTTGAGGGATTTCTTGCAAAAGAAAAGCATGTTGGGCTGTTTGGATATTGAATAGTGTAATAACCTGCAGAACAATCATCAAACAGAATATTACCATTGGAATTGCTTTGAGCATTATTCCATGAGCGGTGTTTTGCATTAAAATCACCAATAATGAAGAATTTAGACCTATGACGGGTAAGTTTCTGGAGGTCACCCTTGAGAAAATTCTTTCGCTGGCCTACGCATTGGAATGGCAAATAGGCAGCTATAAACGTAAGTTGTCCAAATTTTGTTTCAACAGAAACTCCCAAAGTTTCAAAAACTTTGGTTTCAAATGAAGAAAGAATTTTATGCTTGATTCGTCTATGAATAATGATGGCAACGCCACCACAGGGTCCATCAAGACGATCATTTCTATAAATCAAGTAATTTGCGTCCTTCTTAACCTTATGGTCAGGTTTAAGGAACGTTTCAGTTATAACGGCAATATGCACGTTATGAACTCTCAAAAAATTAAATAGCTCGTCTTCATTATCTTTAAGAGATCGAGCATTCCAATTTAAAATGTTTAATGCTTTAAAATCCATTACTGAATTTTAAAGTCATGACAATATTATTAGCAAATTTTACTCCAGTTTGAATAGCATCAAACATGGAGTTAGATTTAAGCATATCAGAAATCATGTCAATTAATGAATTCTGTAAAAATTCCATTTTGGGGGCAGTAATGCTTCCTAAGTCAAAATTGTCAAAATTTCCGTTAGAACGTTGGTTAGTATTTTGATTTCTACCCGCTGCAATAGCAGCATAGGTAGCTCCATTAACTCGCTGAACATTGTTAGCAGCGAGGGGAGTAGGTACAGAAGAAACATTTGAAGCAGGGGTGATATTTGTACCTACGGGTACGAATGTAGAATTTGTTCCTCGCTGACCGTTGTTAACAGCAGAGGAATTTGTACCTGGTCGGAAACGTGGAGCGTTTCCTACCTGTCGCTTAGAACGAGATTGTAGGATCGCTTTGCGAGTCTTACATTCCCAAAAATTGGATTTGTGGTTTTCACCACAATTTGAACATTTAAATTTCTTAGGATCTTCCTTCACAGGACAGTCGTCCTTTGCGTGAGAGGAATCACCACAATTCATGCATTTAGCTGGCATGTAGCAATTTTTAGTTCCGTGACCCCATCCCTGGCACTTACGGCACTGAGTGAGGTTTTGGAAATTTCCTCCAGTCTTCCTGAAGTGTTCCCACTTCACTCGGACATGGAGCATAAGGCTACCTTTTTCTAAGGCCTTAAGGTTGTTCAGTTCACTAGACTTGAAGCGAAGACATCAAATCAAGAAGACTGGCAACTTTGTAAGAATCCAAGTAGCGCTGCACTCGAGCGAATGTGTAAGTAACGCATAGAGAAATGAGCAAAGATACAAACCATTCTTCTTAGGTTCTAATCTTTGCAATCCAATTCGTTCGAAGCATTTACCTTTTCGCGGCAGATGACACGATTGTGCCGGTCTCATAGCGGTCGTATTAGAAAATGTCAGAGTTGCCAGTCTTCTTGATATGTTGTCTTCGCTTGAAGTGAACTAAATAAAAATCATTAGAAATCCCGTTGCGTGAATCGCCAGGACGGGATTTCATTTTCATTTTGATTACTTGGAGTGGCACAACTCCAAGTAATTTTGCCAGTTCATCTTTGATCTGATCCAGGGATTCACCACTGGGCAGTCCTTTCATGACAACCTTGAACACACGTTCAGTTTTGGTGTCGTAAGTAAAAAATTTAGGCTGCTTCTCAGTAAGATCCATCCAAGGTTTCAGCCAATACACGACATTCACCCCGACGTGCAATTTGTAGTGAAAACTTGAATTTCACGAAGTTCAAAAGTTCCGTGCGAAGAGCATGGAAATCGGGATCGGTTATCACAGTAGGGAGAATCTTTTCCTTCTTGGCATTAAGTTGGGAAAGTTTATCCGAATTTTTCCTGGATGATGGATCATTCTCATTATCCGTGAGCAAATCAAATTGATTGCTCAAATTAATTTCATCAGAAGGTGGATCAAGAGATTGCCCTTTTTCTTTGCGCTTAGGCGCCACGGCGGCAGTAAAACCATAGAGGTAACTCTAAGACCACTGGGTCCCGAAGAAAATCATTATTATTTTTGGCTCACTCAGTACCAGAACAACGGTCCCAAGCAGTCCCAAGCTATTTCACTCACCCCTGCATGAATCCACACACCCCTGATGTTATCTGTCAAACTTTCATAGCGAATCAAAACAAACATAGTGTAGTAATAGAATTTCAACTAGAATAGGGTACGTTAATCGTTTGCTTGGGACCAATAGGCTACTAAAGTGGTGAGCCAATTTAAAATCGTTAGTTTCGTATTGATTGTTGGTAAAACTTTTATCCAAATCGACTTCGAAGCAGATTACTATAAGAATCTGAAGGATCGAAGAAGAATTTTCCAAATCGATATCCAAGAAGGCTTACCTCGAGTAGGGTCCAAACAAGGATCGCACAGAAATAAGAGACAAACAAGGTAGAAAATTTACAGGTATATTGAGCACTGAAAAGTGCTGTTTAAATTTGTTGTAGCTTGCAGTAACAGGTACAGCCACCGGATGGAAACTAACGATTTAAAATTGGCTCACTACTTGACTAGCCTATTGGTAACAAGCAAATCGATTAACGTACTCCATTCTAGTCAAAATTCTAGTACTAAACTATGTTTGTTTTGATTCGCAATGAAATTTTGACAGATAAAATGAGGGGTTCGTGGATTTTCCTATGTTTCGAGGGGTGCATCGATAAGCTTGGGACCGGAGAGAGTACCAGAGCTGAGCCAAAAAGTTGAGCGCGTTTCTTCGGGATCTTCTAGTCTTAGAGTTACCTCTATGGTACAACCATGTACAGCTGCTTGGGTTGAGGGCACGTCTCCTAGCATGTCCCGTACGCTGGCGGGCAGACCGTGGAGGCAACGAAGATCCACGAATTGTGGGCATACGCATAACACGTGCTCCACCGCCGAAGGTATAGGGCAAATTTCACAGGTCTCCCTGAAGTGTCCGGGAATCCATGTGTAGGTAGTGTTTGGTGGCCCAACCTTTAGGATGCCCTGGATCCAGGGGTGGACCGGGACTTCCGACGAAAGGGCCTAAATAACACTGTGGGAGTCAGACAGCATCAGGATTGGACGATCCGCAGGAACTGTGACCGCATCTGCCGAGAACACCGACCATTGTTTTAGCAGACTTCTGCTCGTTGAGGAAATGTTACCAGCGATTCTCATTCTGACTCCAGCTCTCGATCTTGACCCGTCCGTG